AGAAACCCATGTTGACCTATTAATTTCAGTGGGAAAGAGGCTTAAATGTAACATTTTGCAGCCTAGAATCAGTCTGAATACAGACTGAGACCTACAGTAGGGAGATAGTTACACCTGCCTGTCCTTGAGTTGCCTTCAGGTTACTTCAGGCATTAAAATTCTGCTTTCAGTCCAGCACCTCGAAGCTGCTCCCCTCACGCCTCCGTTCCTTCAGCTCATCTTAAAGATGTCCTGGGGTCGGGATTAAGACCTGTGGTAAATCAGCTGGATCGAGCTGTCGGAGGAATCTCGGCTCATGTTCCTCTGTTTTTCTCACACTTGTTGATGAGCTGCTTCTCTCTCCTAGTTTAATGTGCTCACCCACCACTCAAGTGAAAAATATCAACAGTTCATTAATAGAAGAGAGATCAAGGAAGCAACCAAACTCAGAAATTAGAGCAGCGGAGGAGGTGAATGTACCAACATTTTAGTTAGATAGTAATTACGGGATTCACTGCGTTTAGCAGAGATTAATGTGCTTCCCTTAACTAAAGGAATAAAGCTGTGGCTGTTACCGGCCCGCAATACAAAAGCATAAGTGATCTGTGGCAAAGCGTAAGAGAGGTTATTGGCTTTTAAAACTCACTTTCTTGTACTGTGACACGCCTCCCTAGGGAGCTCCAACACACGTCCACCATAGCTGGGTGAATACGGACAATGAGGATTAGCAGGGAAAATTAAAACTCCTTCAGCCCTGAAATATGTGATGGTGCTGCTTTAAAGTCTAAAGGGACATTTAAAACATTTGTTACAGGATGCGTTAAAAAAATGACACAGGAAATGATAAATTAAATCATGTTGTTGGCACATACGTATCTTCAGTGGTCATGATAGGGAAACACAGTCCATCCAGCATCCATACACACACCATCAACTAATGACGATTTATAAAGAGCCAGATTAACATCACACTCATGTTTCAATAACCCGACAGCCAGATTGAAGATGTGTAGCACTGGGGTTTATTTTGACACATTATTAATCTGGTTCTGCTGCTTTCCAATCTGTTCGGGGGGACGAGGGACGTTCAACAGAATCTGCTGAGCTGATTGGGCGAAGGGAAACCAACTCCCCACCTACCTAAAGCCGGACATACACTGTACGATATTTTCAATCGTTGCACGAAACCGCAGAGTTTAAAAGTTCACAGCTCACTATGTTTGTTCTCACACTATGCGACCCGATGCTCTGATGCGATCTACCCGCTCACACTGTCCGTCTAAAAACCACGTCGGACTCAACTCCGCAGTGAGATGGCGCTACTCGGACTCGTCTATCTGGAAGCCAAACGAGTAGAAGAGGAATATGAAGCTCACTAGAGTGAAACGCGCTGCCTTGGCAATTTGTGCAATTTTGTGCTGAAAGCCTGTAAAGGAAGAAAATATTCTAAC